AAAAAAAAAAAAAAAAAAGTCGGAAAAACACAGCGAGGATCTTTCCCCTTTGCTACCAGACTGGCAGACGGTTGAGATCCAGCTGAACAAAAGCCTGTATTCTCATTTCAACCTGGCAGCGTGTCCTAACCGCAGATCATTCCCACACTTCAGGCATGCAGCGTTATTCATTTCCATTCTGCTCACATTATTTCCTTTCCCCTCTCAATCCCAGGGCAGTAATCCCTTTTCCAGTTGGATTGAGCTGTCACAACACAGATCAGATGCCACACATGTTGAGAGATGGCAGCAAGGGACAGATTATGCAGCGTGTGCATTTTTGTTGGTTCAACAAGGAAATACATTTATTCTTTCTAGACTGAGACACACTCACTGGAGCAGTGCTGGATGGTGGTTGCCCCTGTGATGGTGGTGGTTCCGTAGAAGGGGCAGGAGAGGCAGTAGGAGCGGCCATGATCAGGCTGGTAGTAATCTCTGGGACAAGGGTAACAGGGGACCAGACCGGTGCGGGAGAAATGACCTGCTGAACAGGGGACTGTGGGAAAAAAGAAATATATGAAGGTAAAGGAGCAGGAAAAAAATCCAGAATCATGCAAAAATGGAAAAAAAAATGGGAAAATCAAACAATGAGAGGCTCCAAGTTCACAATTTTAAAGTCATTGGTTATTTTTGTGTTTTAACTGAAAAACTGAGGTCGCAGAAATGACTGTTTCCAGATGTATCATCCAACCTTACATGATATTTCCAAATAGGAATTTCTGATACAATGAAAGCCAAATACTTTATGACACATTTTTGCTTAAGGGCTGGAATTTGATTTTCTTTAGTTACCGAGTTGCATTTTTAATAACGATGACGGCTATTCAAGGTCAAACAAAGCAATTATAGTGATAGGACATTATGGGAGTGTCCTTTAAACTGTCAGACTGTATCACCTCCACACTCCATCTCGTCCACTGCTCCTCTGGTGACGGTGGAGGTCTCGTCAGGACAGACCAGACACTCCCTGGCGCCAAAGCCCGACTGGAAGTGTCCCAGCGGGCATGACTCGCAGATCTCAAGCCCATTCAGGGAATGACTACCAGGTTTGCACTGCCCTGCACATGCAAATCATGATGAAACAAATTAAGTATTATTTGTGAATAATTATAATTCTATGCATTTTGTGGCTCCCAATGAAAAAGTCTATAAGTCTGAGGTCTGACTGAACACATGTGCGTGCATCTACCTTTGCATTCGGCCACACTGCGGGAGTGCAGGTAGGCTGTGGAGGTTCCTTCAGGACAGGACTTACACTCCAGCTGACCCTCCTGGTCCTGGAAGGAGCCGAGCCAGCAGCTCTCGCACTCGTTATACTCCAGAGAGAAGTACGTTCCCACCGGACATTGCACTGCAAGGGCACTAACAATTAGTAACTCACTGGGAAACATAACATTTTTTGTGGTCGTATTTTAATTGAAGGTGGATTAATGAGTTTACTCTCTGCTCAATCCCTCGCTCACTCACCACACATTCTGCCTTTGAGCACCGAGCCCGGCTGACAAAACAGAGACGCCCTCCTGCTCTCCAGCGATTTGGGATCGGCCACTATCATCTCTGAGGACACATGGAAACTGGACAGCGGCTGCTTGGCCAGCGTTCGCTTCAGTCTATTGGTCAGCTGCTCCAGCGTCCTCAGGAGCCTCTTCTGATTGACCACCTCTATTGAGTCGTTCCTCGACAGGGGCAGAGGGATGCTTGCTGGGAGAACGGACAAAGTTTAAAGGACTGATAACTAACAACTGATGGTACACAAAATAATGAAATATGCATTTTCACGTTCTTTATTAAACTGGGTGCCATTCCAGTTTTACCTGTGATGTTGAAAAAGATCTGGATCTTCTGGTCTCTGGTGGGGCCTTTGATTTTCCGGTGTCTCTTGGCGCGGTGATGTGGTTTCACGCCGCCGTCTCGCTGCCGGTTGGCGATCTGCCGAGAGCTTGTGGCAAAGCCGGACTCAAAGTAGGCGTAGTCCTGGGAGCCTTGAGGACTCCAGTTGTTGCTCCATCCCCCTGGTGCTGATAAATATAAGGCAGAAATAATGAGTCGAATAGATACTTCAATAATAAAGAAGGAGGGATGTTGTTTCTGTGACCTTACTAATAGAAAAGCCGTTCTCGTAGTCGTAGTTGTACTCCAGACAGTGACCCTGTGACATCACCTCCAGCTTGCAGGTGACATCATCGCTGCTGCAAATGTTGGGGAGCTGTGGAGGAGACGAAAAAAAGGCGACATGCTTGAGAGCTGATTCACATGAAGTGTGTGCGTGTGAGCGTGTGAGTGTGTGTGTGTGTGTTAAGGTTCTCACCATCCCGCCCAGTTTGGTGTTGAACTCTCCAGTAAATGACTTGACCAGGTCTACGTCCTCACAGCTGGACGCTTTAAACAGCATCTCAAAGGGCTTGAATCCGTTGTTTGCGATACGGTTCACTGAGAACGAGGAAAAATGGTTTTATACAGCGCGGTGCTTCATTTCAAGCTGCTGCACATGCACGTTGAATGTGTTTCGTAAGTCAACAGAGCCAAAATCCATGCAATGAGAGTTTTCCTGCACCCTGTACTTACACGAGCAGTCGGGTCTCTCAGGAGAGTACGGAGGCTCCCACACACCGTTGAACGCACAGAGGTAACTGTGCACTGCATCCTGAGTGAAGCTGTATCCGTCTTTACAGTGAAGAGTACAGTTCACACCCTCGTCTTCCTCAGCGCAAACAAACTCTCCGTTCACTGGGACATAGGGTTGTTCACAGGTTGTCCCTGAGCAGACAAAAATAGAAACATTTCATATTCTTATTCTTCACAACAGACATGCATGTTGTTTAAATACACTAATGTGTAGCCTGTAATAGTTTCAGGATCTACCTCGGTCCTGGAGGAGCTAGATTTCCATCAACTTAAATATGCTTGAAAAAGGAGATTCAACTAAACAAAAACTAGAATACAGACTTGATATTGTGATATAACATGATTCTATGCACGGGATTTAAAACAGCTGTGATGCATTAGTCAGTTCCGCACCTTGCACAGAGACGGTGAGGTTGCAGGCGCGGCTGTTTCCTGCAGCATCAGTGGCGGTGTACTGCACCAGAGTCTCGCCCACTGGGAACAGAGAGCCTGGAGTATGGCTGCTGGTGACTGTGAGGCGGCCACCTGAGGGAGACGCACGTTACAGAAGAGTAAACATTATGAATGAAAAACAGACAAACATCATAGCATTAACCAGGCTGTCTGAGAGGAACTATCTTTTTATATTTACTCATATAATATTCTTTATTTTCTGGTGCAGATGTTGTAATATAACACAATGATAGTGATTTTGTCCAATTATAAGGTTTTTTATTCAACTTTCAAATTATTACCAAGATGACACGAGCTTGATTTCTAACCTTATAGATTGAATATTTTTCTTTCCACTCATGATTTGCCTTTAGAAGAACATAATTACTTGAGTTGTTACTGTTGCTCTAGTGAACCTACAGGGGGCAGTCTTGGCCTTACTCCAGTTTCCAGGACTAAATGAGTCACTCTTCGTAAAAACCACAGCAGATACGTTGAACTCTGATATTATAACGTGTGCACAGTGTGTCTGGGCATCACATGGCAGCAGAACAATCCACCTCTGAGGACTGAAGAGGAAAATTACTACAGTCTGGTTGGTTTAAGAAAAAAAAAAACTGCACGTGCAGAGAGTGATGGATCGGGCTTTGGGAGAGGCAGCTGTGATGAGAGGGTTATGAGAGTGTGTGTGTGTGTGTGTGTGTTTCATACTTCCCTGCATCCTCACACACAGGTTATGAACAGAACGCAGTGAAAACATCTGCAACAAGTGTGACATCCAGACGGGATTTTAAAAAGTAAGAGGAGAAGGTGGGAAAAGTAAGTGGTTGACCTTTCGTCTTCCATTAACGGTATTGTCGGGTCATTCCAACAGGGCTGACACACGTCTGGTCCGCTGGAGTCTGGTGTCTCCCTTTATATATAGCCCGTGTGTGTGTTTGAACGTGTGTTTATGTGTGTGTCTGCCGAGTCGTGACTATATATAGCTCTGGCATCAGGGTGTGGGCTTGGAAAAACAAAACACTGACGTCGAAGGAGCGCGGTGTTGACGTCGTGTGGCCCAAAGCAGCTGCAGCAGCCTGTTATTACCGTGCCTGTGTGTGAGTGTGTGTCTGATAGAGGTGCACCTCTGCAGACAGGTGGGGAAGGATCTTTTTGGAGTTTCTGCGAGATCGTGGCCTGCGTTCGAGCGCGGGCTCATTTCTGCCAAAGTTTGTGAACTCACACAAACACGCGTGTGAGTGCTGTTCTGTGTTATTCCATATATGTGCGTGTGTGTGTGTGTGTGTTTGTGGAGCCAGAGTCAGTGAATTACATGGTCCTGGCTGTGGCTGGAGCTCTGGAGAAGTCTGGTTTGTTGTCTGTCACCACCATGGCTGCTTGGGTACAGTGAAGAGTGCCAGGAGAGAGACAGCCAGCCCTGCGATATTTAGTCTATTTGGCAGAGTGGCCTTGATGCACTGCTTTACAGCAGCATCGGTCTGAATAGTTAAACATCAACGTAAGTGTAGCAGGGTGGCCCAGTCTAAAACCAGAGACCGGCAGACCGCATATAAAGTCTTCACAACAGCCCGTCACAGCTTCATAATGTCCGTCCGTGAAGGGGAACATTTTCTTTTCACTCAGTTTAAGGTGCAGGGAATGAAATTTAATGTACTGCGATTTAGATTGTTTCGTATTGTGTCAATCATCAAACCCTGCGTCACTGGGAAAACTTTAAACATAATCCAATAAAATCCTCAATGTATATGTTTCATTTGCAATTCGTGGCACAGACTTGTTTCACCAAATGTTTGTACTTTTTACTCAATTGAGTGAAATCTTGCGGATGTGGCCCCGTATGGATTAAAAATGAATATTTTCCTTGACATGAATTATGAATCAGATCCAATTTCAAATTCAGATCTATCTGATTTAAATGCACAGGAATACATTCTGGTATGGATTTGGACAAAGTGGCAGATCTAGGAATTGTTGATCATGTTGTTTAAGATTGTGAGATAGTTTCTACTTTGAATTCTACTTGATGTTTAGGTGAAAATGCTAAATCTCTGCTGTGAATGTAGATATTAATAAAGAAAATATTATTTGGATGTACTTATGGAACTTTACCAGTGATTAAAACCAGGATTCATTGTTAATGGCAGCCACTCTAGTCAAGAAAACCAAGATAATTAGACAAGCAATTAAAACACATTGAACTCCCATGTGAGTCCAGTATCATATGTTCATGTATAATTACATGAATGTGTGAAAAATGGACGTAATGAACAAGTTTTCATGATCAACTGTCTTTGTCTTCTTTAACATTAATGACATTAACACGTTGACAGCTTCATCTGCTCCCCAGCCCTGTTCTCTCTCCATCTCTTTTAAACACAGACACACAAATGAGGCGTTCATGCACACATTTACAATCCATCCTCGGAGTCTCTCACCATTATTCACACACACACACACACACACACACA